ATTTGACTTTGGAAAAGGATAACGCAAGGCCACATGTCGCAAAGATTTGCTCCGATTGCTACAGACGAACAACGTAGATATTCTTCCACTGCCAGCGTTCTCACCAGACCTTCTGATAGAACATTTATGAGATGAGCTGGATAAACGTGTCAGACGTCGCCCAAATCCACCAACCACCATCGAGGATCTAGTGCAGGCGTTGTTGCAGGAATGGAATAATATCCCTCAGGTTATCATCAACAACCTTATTAACTCTACGACACGACGTGTCCAGACTGCAATTGATGCAAACTTAGGACATACACGATATTGAAACTCACTGTAATACTGTCATAAGGTTCTTACCTTGTATAGACCGAGCAAAGTTGTGATATTCTTCTTAATTTTTCAATACTGCAAAATGAGTCACGTTTGAATTTTATCAGAAAACGCATTACTAAACAAAAATAAAAAAATTAAAAAAAAAGATGTGAATTGAAGAATTAAATCATTATGTTAAATCTGAATATGTGTTTCTTTTTTTTGTTGAGTATAAATTGTTGTATTTAAAAAAGTATGACAAACATTGAAGTTGTCAGATACTGCGTCAAACATCAGTAAAATAGCAGAAAAGTCGAGTCATAAGTCATAAGTCATGCACAAATGAAACAAGAGGCCCACGGGCCTTATAGGTCACCTGAGTATCGTGCAACAACTTTCAAACAATTAAAATTGGTTCGTGTTTTAAACCAGAGGCCATGAAATTTGCAATTCACAATTTTGAAAGAGGCACCAATGCTTATCATAATTATAAACTTAGCATGCTTACTCTATTTACCTAATACCCAGATGTAGATCAGAGTAACAAAGAGAAAATGCACTTCCACTTTAAAACCAGTTGTGCACCTCATCCCAAAGGAACCACTGACCCTGGGGCCACATATTTCAAAATTTTGCAAATTTTATCATAAAATGGTTGATTAATACTAAAGAGCAGATTTCAAAGCATTAATTAATTTTCAGACTATGAACCCCCCCCCCCCCGACCAGAGGGCATAAAAAATAACCATTTTGCTAGATGCACTTTTCTTCATCATAAATATATATACTTGGATCATTGGCATAAACTCCAGGAGCAAAGAAAAAGATTTTCAAAGAATTAATGCATTTTCACTATATAATCATTAGAGCCCCACCCTAATACCAGAACCCCTGATCCTGGGGCCATAAAATTCACAATTATGGAAGAGACACTCTTTCTTAACATAACTATGAACTTAATTAGTTTATTTAATACCCAGAAGCAGAGAAGAAGATTTTCAAAGAATAAATGCATTTTCACTATATGATCAATAGAGCCCCGCCCTAACACCAGAACCCCTGGCCCTGGGGCCATAAAATTCACAATTTTGGAAGAGGCACTCTTGCTCAACATAACTATGTGTTTAGTTAGTTCATTTAATACCCAGAAGCAGAGAAGAAGATTTTCAAAGAATAAATGCATTTTCACTATATGATCAATAGAGCCCCGCCCTAACACCAGAACCCCAGACCCTGGGGCCATAAAATTCACAATTTTGAAAGAGGCACTCTTGCTCAACATAACTATGTGTTTAGTTAGTTCATTTAATACCCAGAAGCAGAGAAGAAGATTTTCAAAGAATAAATGCATTTTCACTATATGATCAATAGAGCCCCGCCCTAACACCAGAACCCCTGGCCCTGGGGCCATAAAATTCACAATTTTGGTAGAGGCACTCTTTCTAAACATAACTATGTACTTAGTTAGTTCATTTAATACCCAGAAGCAGAGAAGAAGATTTTCAAAGAATAAATGCATTTTCACTATATGATCAATAGAGCCCCGCCCTAACACCAGAACCCCTGACCCTGGGGCCATAAAATTCACAATTTTGGTAGAGGCACTCTTGCTCAACATAACTATGTACTTAGTTAGTTCATTTATTACCCAGAAGCAGAGAAGAAGATTTTCAAAGAATAAATGCATTTTCACTATTTGATCAATAGAGCCCCGCCCTAACACCAGAACCCCTGACCCTGGGGCCATAAAATTCACAATTTTGGTAGAGGCACTCTTGCTCAACATAACTATGTACTTAGTTAGTTCATTTAATACCCAGTAGCAGAGAAGAAGATTTTCAAAGAATAAATGCATTTTCACTATATGATCAATAGAGCCCCGCCCTAACACCAGAACCCCTGACCCTGGGGCCATAAAATTTACAATTTTGGTAGAGGCACTCTTTCTCAACATAACTATGTATTTAGTTAGTTTACTTAATACCCAAGAGCAGAGAAGAAGATTTTCAAAGAAATATTGCATTTTACTATATAATCTATATAGCCCCGCCCTAGCACAAAAACCTCTGACCCTGGGGCCATGAATTTCACAATTTTAGTAGAGGACTCAATGCTCATTACATTCATGCCAACAGTTTGCCTGCTTGATGTCCAGGAGTAAAGAAGAAGATTTTTAAAGATTGCAATAATTTTGGTGGTTTTGGCCCCACCCCTCAGGCCCCAGGAGGGCGGGGACCATAAAATTCACAATTTTTGTTTGCCTTCACCCATAAATGCTGTATACCAAATTTGGTTGAAATTGGTTCAGTGGTTTCAGAGAAGAAGCTGAAAATGTTCAAATGTTAACACACGACGGACGACGTACGACGAACGACGGACGACGAACGACGGACGACGACAGACAAAAACAGATAGCAATAGGTCACCTGAGTTACTCAGGTGACCTAAAAAAATGAAAGCTTTGTCTCTTCTAAAGCAAAAGTTATTACCAAAAGTTCAATATTTTCTAGTCCAGGATGTCAAAATCAGAGTGCATTCGGAAAGGACTGAAAAACAGTTAGTGCAACTAATTTGGTAAGGAATTTACTTAGAAAAGGGTAAATACTGATATATGTGCATAATTCACTGATTATAAAGAAGTAAAAAACTTATTAGATAAGAAATGAGGACACGTTTTAAATGACTTAATTCTCTGGGAGCTGTAGAACCTTCAGATGTATGTTGATAATAAAACACCATTAATGCGTTAAATTTCTTTAAGTTTTTAATTACATAACAAACACGTTAGAGTTTGACAAAGTTACAAGTTATACAGAAAAAAATACCTACTGTGAAATCTACTCATAATGATTATCAAGTAATTGAATCTAACTGCCACGTTTCAAAGCGACCGTTCTTGTTAAGCACAATCTCTCTCCTTCTCTCTCTCTCTCGGTATGTGCAAGCTACGCAGAAGTTATATCGCCGTTACTATTCTCTATGCACAATCTCTCTCCCTCTCGACAGTCTGGTCTCACCGTCCTTCTTGTACTCATACTCATTGATGACATCACCTTTCACTGTAATGTGTCCCATAAGATTTTTTCGCCTGTAAAGGTATCAAACAGTAATTAAAAAAACTTTCAAGGTAACCAATAGTTCACCATTTACTGACGGACACATTCCTACTGGTCCCGGTGGATCAGTACTGATGACTGAAAAGACAGACTCTGACTTTGATAGACAGCTGATTGTGGTAGTGATAATGACGACGCGGGTCCCAATATGGCGGCGCTGAATATCCAGAAGGGAAAGCAGTGTTGGTTAGATATTACTCTGGTACAGGTTATTACACTGATGACCCTATTATCACTCCTCCGATTCGAACCCACGACCTAAGGATCCACTCCTTACGCCGCGACTCTAGAGTAGACGCTCTAACCACTGCACTGTGGCGACGTAAAATTGAAGAAAGAAACTCTAAAGTAAAGGAGACAATTGGAAATACCTGTAGAATATATATTGTCCACTTCATTGTATTTAAAATCTTTCCTGGAAAAATATGAGAGGTACCCTGCGTTAAAAAATTAACTTGAAAACCTATACCTTTATATATTTATTCTCTCAATATCAAAAAAAAAAAAAATTCAATGTTGTTTGAGCTTCCTTAAGGTTCATTTACACTCTAATAAGAAAGGTAACTCTTAATGGCATAAATGTCTCTCATTTCTCTATATATTTGTCAATTTGAAGTGTCTTTTTTGTCTATTTTTGCCCTGCAAGCTAAATGTATACTTTAATTGATTGTATTTTTTAAAACAAAAATATTTCTATTTGAAAATCATTAGAGTGAAAGAAACATTCTTCATGAGTGAGCGGAGGGTTTATGATCTTTGATGTGTATATCGACAACGTGATATTTGTCTGACTCTTACAATAACAACAATAAGTTTGAGTTGTATCATAATATGAAACACTTTACTTTTGAGTAAAAGAAATTCAAAGGACAGTTTAAACAGAGAATCATTTGATACATATATATTATATGCTACTTTACTCTTCGGATCAAGTTACTGTTATAAGGATAAATTTATCATATACCCCCCTTATAACTGGCTAAATATATTAAAATGATTCTTTACAGATCAATGGTATTATATTAGTCCAAGAAACAAAGCATTAAAACAAAGGACTTTTTAATGCGCAAGAAAAATGTCATATTTCTGCGTACTACGTCATCAGTTTCAGAGGGTGGTGATATGGATTCAGAAAACCACAGTGTGGTGATCCGGAAAGTCGGATCACGACGTCACGTGATTGCATAAAACCAACAGTAAATTTGAGTGATACGCATTAGGTATATAATAAAAATAACGATTGCAAATCGACTGTAAATAAAACACCACTACCTGGAACGATTAACATGATTAAGCTCTCCCAAAATACAAATTGAATACACTGATTAAGTCATGAACGTAAGACACTTTCATAAATATTTCAAATATATTTTGTAATTTTTTTTTTAAATAAAAAGTCTCATTTTCTAAAAGGAATGTTGGAATATGTATGTCTAATACATAATCAAATCACAAAAAAATTAGTAAGCTCTTACTGATATCATTGGACAGGATTCATCTTACATACGTATATCCAATCAAATGCATCCAACTGCTGAGCAGTGAACTCAAGTAGAACCCCAAGTATACACATATAAAACCTTGTGTTTGCTTATATTTTGCAGGATACATTTAGGTAGGATATTACACAGAAGACTGAAAATATGATTTATATACTAAGAATGTGCATACTTTGTAGCTTGATTCGATTTTTAATTGCTCTCTCATTGCTGTCAGACCAAACTATTGGCAGCATGTCCAGAACTTTCGTGACTAATGGTGATTCTCAAGAATCAGACACTTTCCGTCACCTTCTTAATTAAGAAAGCATTATCCGGATGTCTTTAACGAATACTGTTCAAACCCTGACGAGTAATTTTCAGTCCCTGATGAAGGACGTGTTGACATTAAAGGAATCCACGGGATCTAGAATTTCTCAGTTGGAGGCAAAGGTAGAGGATCTCAAATCAGAAAACCAACGACTTGATTCTGAGTTACAGAGGAGCAAGGCAAAGGAAAGAAACTTATCTTCGCTGGTTGCCTCTTTTCAGGCATCATTGTCGAATGTTTCAAGTCTCGTTAGTGGTAAGTGGACTTTGTAACCTGGAAAAAAAAAATGCTGAATTCAATCTTTGTTGAATCAACTGTTTTTAAGTTAATTAACTTTCCTGTATCCTTTAGAAAAATGTAAATGAGCATAGGAAAAATTAAAAGATGTTTTCTTAACCAAAATGACTAGATTTTAGTTATTTACTCCGTAATTTTGTTTATTGTTTCGGTTTACTAGTATTTCAGAGGGTATATATCAATCATAAAAAAACTAAGTATAACAGTGTATTAGGTACTATTTCTCCACAAAAATCAAGATGTAGGATATTAATCACGCAGATTTTGTTGTAATTATTCAAACTCCAGAAAAATTCTCAATTCACATCAAGCGGTTATATTTACAACGAAACAAGATACAGCCTGTACGAACATCTTTGCTTGGTTCATTGAAATGACAGAATATAATTCTACGGGGAATTAATATTGCAGAAATGGGAGCAACGTTCAAATGAAATCCATTGTTGTTGTTAATTGTCCGTTGTTTCCGGTCATTAACGTAATGTAACAGTGCCCATTTGGAATCGTTTTATATATACGTCACACTCGGATAATTTCTGGAAATAACATAAACATTTTAATGTTCTTGACTCCGAAGACATCGGTGATGTATTTTAATTTCGGTTTTTATTTAATAATATTTTTTAAAAATTTTGTAAATAAGTACTTTAAATGTGATACTTTGCAGGATGCAGCAAATGCCTAATCAAGCCCCTATTCTTACCCCTTACAAAAATATTAACTGCTGACTTCAAAGAGACTGTGTTTCAGCATATTCTAGAAATGGTGTGAAACAGATTTAAGAGTATTGAACACCCCTTGTTAAGCGGTCACACCCACTGTAAGGCGTGTAAGCCCAACATATTGATTGAGTAAATGAAAAATTAGGTGGTTAAATTCAGTATTAAAACAAATTTCAGACAAAGGATATAAAACAAAATCAGTCAAAATCGACCCATTGATAGGTTGTATTTGCTAACAAGGTCTTTAGTACAACAATTAAGTTAACACACTGCTAGCTTGATATGAGATAATGAAATTCCATAAATGTAAACGTATTTGTCAGAAAGTTAGCTCTGTTTCACAATTATTAGTACTCATTCCATGCGGTTGATAAAAGAATAAGTTGAAAGACAATTAAACACCATATAACATTCACCATGTACAGGTGATTATGGAATATAGCTACATGAATAAGAAATAATGTAAATAAAAATACTGAATTCTTTTCGTTTGAGTTGCTATTTGAGATGAATTACTGTTCGTTATCTTCACCGTTTACATCATTAAAACTCATTCACATTTTTTTTTGCATTTCAGTCAACATCAATAAAACTTTAGACGAGCTGATGGCGGAAGTGAAACAATTCAAGCATGACCAACTGCAACTGTCTTCTAACATGTCGTCTTTCGAGGTGTTCAGAATGAATGTGACAAATAACCTACATGTAACAGGTTTTTTTTAAATGAGATTTTTATATTAAGTTGATTTATAGATAGATATTAATACATAATCTTTTCCGTATCTTATCCTTCATCAACCTGTAAAGATTTTTCTATGTTGCAAGAACTTGTTTCCAATTCCTTTGTATGAATTATGCGATAAAATATGCTCAAAACAATTAACCTGATTCACCAGTATCAGCTCTTTGGCCTTCAGATCTCTTGCTGAAATCAGTGTTTTGGGCTAATAAAGGGTGTGATCGTAAACATTAATATATCTATTAGATATGTAGTAAAAATGCAAATATTCTTTTTAAAGAAATATAATTTTATAATCAGATCCTTATACCACGGTAATCAAAGATTAAAAAAGTGCTAGAAGACATGAAAAAACATGTCTCGTCTTGATTCAAGTTCATTTAATAAAAGATGATGACTAGAGTTGTGTTTTAAGAAAGGACAATCGTGTTTTCCTAAGAAAGGAGAAGGAAACTTCTAATTCTATTTTTATAAATCATCCCAGTCAAGAAATCAATTTTTTGATCGCACATAATTTCAAATAATTGGACACCTTTCATCTTGAGTTAAACAATTAAGACCTTAAACCTCAATTGAATTTGTAGGTAAGGCAAAGAAGGTAGGTCTCTCCGCCTCAGTGTCCTCCAGCAGCTCATCCTGGAACGGTGGAACACTGGTATTTCCTTCCGTCATCACCAATAAATGGACTGGATACAACCCCAGTAACGGAATATTTACTGCTCTTATCGCCGGGATGTACCAGGTACGTCTTTTCCGTCAATGTTCAGAGTTATGATAGGAAATATATTTATGTAGACATTGTATTGAATGGATCAACAAAAGTCAGAACAATGGCCCATAGTTACAATAATAATGATTCTTATGAATCAGGTCCAAACCTGGCGGTGCTAACATTCAGGAGGGAGACGCTGTGTGGATCAAACATAACTCTGGCTCAGGCTATTACTATGATGGTCCTATTACTACTTTCTCTGGTTTTCTTACATAGTTTGGTCTGCAAAAGGGCATTGCGCATACTATGGTCGTTAACTATATATGCATATATATTCTATTCCGCAAAGTGATTGAAAGTAGACTACAATATAGAAACGACTTTATAAATGTTGTTAACTACTACAGGATTTGTATATGAATTAGATATATACTAGTATTTAAACAATACCTTTTTAATCTTGAAAGTGAAACATCTACAACATACATGTCTGTGGAGAAGGTAAGCAAAAGTCCTTTTATCATCTGGCTTTCTGTGGGAGGATTTGGGTAAAGCTGATCAGTTCAGGGACAAATGTTTTAAATGCAACAAAAATATAAACAAGGGTTTTGATCTTTACCATCTTTTTGAGACAAAGTAGGTATATCCTTTAGAATGTCCTTTTTGACTTATGTAAAAGTGTAATTAAAAATCGTACTACCGATTTTGCTGTTGTAGAATATACTTTTAACAATCAAACTTTGGCGATGCTGTCTTTTGTGTGTCTTGTTGGCATATTCTTAATCAGAAACTTTGTATTTCATGTATCCTCGTTACAAACATTTTCTTACTGTGCTTAAATTCTAAATAAAGTATATCATATTCTTGTCAATTTATATTTCTTAAGCTGAAGTATTATACATTGTGAATCCCAAAACACATAATAATATTTGAATTTTATGTCTTTTTAGTCGAAAAAAAGCTTAAATTATTTGTACACTTGCCTGCAATAAAGAGTGATTCATTCTTATAATAATAATTTAGATAACCGAAAAATAAATTATGATACAACACTAAAACGTACATTTATTTAAATGTTTAATGACATACACATGAATTCAGTCATTGTTAGTAGAACATGTGCCATCAATGATTAAGCTTAACAAAGTATTCGACATTAAATGATCATAAACTTTAAAAACTTGCATGCAGTTGAAGTTTTGACAATCTTGTCAATTAAGAAAATAATATTTACATGGGGTAGGGTAATGGGGACTACAAAAGGAGACCAACATTTAACTTAAGAATAAATGTAAAACCTCGCAGAAAAATGTCCTTGAATGATATGGAGGTGGGATCATGTGCCATGGAAGAGTGAGCATCCCCTGCTGACCGGTCACACCCGCCATGTGCTCCTTGCAATTGTCATGATCGGGAACAAGGTCATTGTATCGACCATAAGACTTACGAAATGATGACTTTAAACGAGACTGCTGATATTCTTGTTTCGTCAACTTGCTTGTCAATAATTTACCTCGTTTTAGAAATTGTTCATACGTAGAGCATGCTCTTCCGTATCGAATCAAATGAGATATATAAACGCCGTATGCAGGTGATGAAGGTATATTGCTGCATAAGTAAGGGACGATGACGATAGAAAATTTAAAGTCATCACGCTCATCATAACGTTTGGTTGTGAGATTACCATTAACGTCTTTTTCAAATAAAATATCCAAGTATGAAACAGATGTGTCAGACTCTGTAGTATCTTTTATCTCAAGTTCACCAGGATGTATCGTATCCACATAAGAATGGAAATTTCAGTTATTAATTGACAATACGTCGTCGATATATCTAAATATCGAGTTGAAGGCCAAAGCAAGTGTTTTCTTCTTTTCACGCATAAGATTTTGCACAAATTCTGCTTCATATGAATACGATAATAGGTCCGCTAATAGCGGAGCGCAATTAATACTCATGGGAATTCCAATAGATTGTTGGAATACCTGGTCTCCAAAAACCACATAGATATTGTCAATCAGAAACTCAAGCATCTCTTTGATGTGAACTTCAGAGTACTTTTGCGTGCAATCAGAATGTGTTTTAACAAAATAATTTTGCAAATGACCAATGACAAGGTAACCAAATTTACGAGTTCCATTTTTATTGAAAAAGCAGCTGTCAATGATATCAAAAAGCTTGGACTTTAATTTGTCGTGGGGAATGGTTGTGTATAAAGTGTATAAAGTTTGTAAGTCATAAGTTTATAAGCTGTTAATTTTGGTAAAATCTTGTGATTTCAAATTGTCCAAAAGTTCTTTGGAATTTTTGAGTATCCACATCTGATTCACACCACTTCTTGAATATATTGTTGCACAGTACTCCTGAAATTTTCCCTTCACCACTGTCAATATCTTAGTGAAGAGTAACGAAAGAGGCAGGCTTACAAATTCTTAATTTTTACATTTGATGGAGCTCAATTTTCCTTGCCTGGAATCGAAAAGTTGAAGATTTTTAAATTATCAACACGTATACTATTTAAGAACTGTTCGATACATTACTTTAAGTCACAAAATAACACAATTCCCCTTTTAAAAGTGTTCATATCATTTAAGACATGTTCCAAATGTAATTCTCTTCTACTTTTTAAAGATTATTATGTACCTCCATATTAATAAGAGGTCTGGAAAAAAATATCTGCTAAAAATAAAACCATCTGCTGTTATCCATGAACTACTTTCATGGTTCTTTACACTCATTTTGAAAACAACAGTACCCTGTATTGAACTTGAAAATACCATTT